GCTTGACAAGAATAACTTCTAGCTTGTGGAGACTTGCTACCCTGTACCTATGTTGTTCGGACTCTCCAAAAATATCGCTGGGTGCGTGTCGGATTCTCCAAAACCAGTGTATTTTTGGAGAATCCGACACGGGTGCGGCAGTATTTTGGAGAGTCCGCGCAACATAGCCCTGTACACTGTTTCCGTAAGACTAATATCATGTCTGGATATGCTTCTAAATCAACTTATTTTGAGAAGTACTTTTTTCGAAAGTACTTTTCAAAAAAGTACTTTTGGCGAGAAACAATTTGTGTTTGGATAATTACTTTGAAAATTACTTTTCCGCAACAATTAGTGTTTGGCCAAGCTTTTAAAAACTGCTTCTAAGAGCATGTTTGGCCAAGCTTTTGGGATGCCAAAAGCTCTCTTTTTGTCAAAAAAAGTATTTATTTGGAAATATGAGGTGTTTAGCATAAATAGAAAAGTACTTTTGAGCAGCAACAGAAACAATTTTTTTGCTTTTGGGAAGAAGCAACAAATTCTAGCTTTTTCCAAGTAGCAGAGGCAGAAGCAGAAAATTAATGTTTTCAAGACAAAAATATCCTTACCATAAATTATATTTCCTAAATTATCCCTTATTAATTTAACCTTTACTTTTTTTTTATCTCTACCATCTTTTCTTCTCGTTTCTATTTTTACCGTATTTTTATTCTTCTTTCTCTTATTCCTATTTGGAATAATCTTTCTAATATAAATAGATCTCTTGTTCTCTTTTGTTGTTTCTTCTATTCTTCGTCTCCTACTAGTCTTTGAAATAGCAAGGTTGATTACCAGATTCAAGCATTTTCTTCATTAGGTATATGATTTTTTCTTTTATATTATACCAATATTATATGATCTCCAGTTTGTAATTTATTTGTACTTTTTTTGCGTGCATGCAGATAATATAATTGACATAATGCAATACTACCTAGTTTGTTATTTTCTCAAGAATTGATAGTTTTTTCATACAGGTAACTTGTAAGCATATATGTTCCTACCAATATTATTGCTTTTATATACGTATATTTTATATTGATTAAAATCTGTAATACATATTACTTTATATTTTATATTCTAAGTACATAAAAATAAAAAATTAGTTAAATTATTTTATAATAAAAATTTAAAATTGCTCTTTTTAAATAATGTTAATTCTAAGTAAACTTTTATTGTCCTTTATAGTAATTTGACACCCAAAAGTAGTTTTTGGAAAAGATTGGCCAAACACAATTTGCTTATCAAATTTTACAAAAAGTGCTTCTCAAACAAATTGGCCAAACACAAACTGCTAATTTTCAATAGTATTTGTCCGAAAAGTACTTTTCAAAATAAGTAGTTTTTGGCAGCTTGGCCAAACGGGCTCTAACTTTATTTTTCTTAAAAGTGTTTTTGAGGAGAAATATTTTTTTCTGCTTCTCAAAAAACGCTTCTGCTTCTACTCAAAAGCACTTTTTTTTTCCTTCCAAAAGCTTGGCCAAACACCTCAACTTTGAAAAAAAAAACATGGAGAAGCTTGGCCGAACATGCTATAGAAAAGAGAACAAGTGAGAGCAGTATTCTCAAGTAACATGTGAGCTCACAGAAGGTTCTAACCGGGAGGTTCATCTTGTTGATTATTGGAGGTAAGCTTTGGGCCTTTTTCTGAATTTTGAAGGAAAGGAGCTGCCACTTGTCAACCCTTAAGTGCCCCTAACTTCTCTTGGTAGAGTTAAAGCTGAAATATTCTTCTCTGCGTCCAATAGGTGGCTGTATCCAGCTGAAGAATCAGCCACACCATTGCTTCTCTGTGATAGTGTGTCACCCTGACTTTTTCACTTTGAACAAACTCTTTAATCTCTTCAATAATAGGTTCATAGCGCCAAGAAGGTTTTGCAACTCCCGACAACATTCACGATAAGTGAGAGTCAGCTTCCACCCAAATGTTTCTAATACAATGCTCAGGACACCATTTAAGCCCATAGGAAAGTGCAAATGCTTCAGCCGTATTGTTTGTTCCATGGCCTAGTGGGACTGCATATGCCATAATAATATCACAGAGTTCCTCACTATGCCACTTCGTCCCCATTTTCCTTGGCCGCAACTGCCGTTCATGTTTAGTTTTACCAATCGTAGATCAGTGTTACAATAATGCTTGTCCATCGAGGTGAGTATTTCTCAATGTGTTCAATGAAATTGCTTCAGGGAATTGGTAGTTCAAATTTTGGAAATTTCAATTGAATGTTGCTTTGCATGGATTTCAGAATCTGCTTTTTAGTGTTGAAAGTTGATGGTTTATTTTTGCTAAATCTGCAGCAACATGCTTATTGTTCCTTTTTTGTGTAAGAAATTTAGCAGATTTCTTTTGTTCTCTCAATTTTATTTTTCTCAAGAAAATAGTCCAGCTTGAGTTACTTTTGCCGAAATTTCATGTTGTCACTGTCAAAATTGATTCTATGAGTAAGTCAATTCGACAGACAACTTTTTTGTAGTTGTAGGAAAAAGACTTTTAACAAGGGATGTTACTCACCTTCATCCGTGGAGATACAGGAACAACTTCAATTAAACTTTGAAACATTTTTTGCTGTTTGTGTGTACCACTTTGTAACATTTTCTAAGCACTTGACATGTTCCTTGAATCTAAAAATTCGTCACCTCTTTTTTCTATCCACAATCAACTCCTTGGCGTTCTACTTCCGCCTAAGATTCTAAGGAGAATAACTGGCTAATATAGCGGATTCTTTCATGCAGGACCTACTGTCAAGGTACGCAAATGAGGATGAACAGATCAAGAGGTTTGAAACACGTAATTTTAACTGCTCATTTCCACATCTGAAGACCATCGAGATCATTAACTTTCATGGACCACTAAGTGAAAATAAGTCGTTGCTGCCATTGATAAAATATTTTCTCAAGCATGCAACTGTGCTTGAAAAGGTAGTCATTGGCGCCATATTCAAAGAGAGTGATATGCTGGATCATTTCGAAATGACACAGGAGTTACTAAGCTTTCCAAGATCCTCTCCGCATGCTTCAATTGTCTTTTCTTATCGATAATCTTTGGCCCCTCTCGTTTGTATTGCTTGCAATATACTTAATAGCTCTTACTTTTTGTTTGAAACTGACATGAGTGGGTTGCTCTAGTGGTGGACACCCTCCACTTCCAACCTAGAGGGTGTGAGTTCGAGTCACCCTAAAGCATGGTGGGGAGTTGTTGGAGGGAGAGATGCCGAAGGTCTATTGGAAACAGCCTCTCTACCCCAGGGTAGGTGTTAAGTATGATGTATAACTGCAATGAACTTTTTCAATTTTATCCCAACTTTTAATCTGGCTGGAGGTAAATAGAGTAGATATATCTTGATATTTGTATAGGGCAAATAAAAAGGCAAGTAAGACTACTTAAGCCTTGGTAAATAGAGTTACCCGATACCTTAACATGAGTTGGACACACACTCGCTCCTTTCTATGGGTTTATTCCTTTGCTGTAATTTTCCTTATGTCATCCTTTGTATGATCACTGCCTGTTGTAAAAGTTGGAGCGCTTTTAGTAACATTAGCAGAATACGTTTTATTCCTTCGCTGTAATTTTACTCAGAAATGTGTTCTTAAGATGAGTATTCTGGACACAAATGACCAATATTTTATAACATATTTATTATACTGGAAAATTCTCATGTTCACAAGTCCCAGAAAAATTATTAGCTCAAGAAAATTTCTTCAAGATGTAATGAGTAGGGGCAATAAATAAAAGATACTTTCCTAGTTAGACTTTTGGTCTAATATTACTCTTTTCGTTAGCATTTGTTTACCCCTTTATCCCTGATCGAACTCCAATTGAGGTGTAATTTAAACCATAGTTAAAAGTTGGGATAAAATTGAAAAAAATTTCCACGATTAGTGCGGTCATATGAAGTCAATGGAGAATCTCAGGCCAATAAGCTACGACAACATTATTTTATGTTGGAGTTCTGCTAATCTCAAACGTAGGGCTGTCAAATCTAGCCCAAGCACAAATAACCCTTCCAATTTGTTCAATGTTGGACTGGTGATTGACCCGCTCATTTGTTAAACTCAGCTCATCTTAACCGAACCCATCTCAACCCAGTTAAAATTTGGTTGATTTCTAGCCCAAATTGATCAACGAGTAATTTGAGGGGGAAATTCAAAAATAGCCAGATTTACAAGTGGTCATTCAAAAATAGCCGCAGTTTCAATAGCAATCGAAATTTAGTCAATTTCATGTAAAGATAAATCTGAACAAAAATACTGTTCAAAATCCGAAAAATACTCAGTATATTATACTGGAGTTCCAGCATAAGTATATTGGAACTCCAACATGTTATAATGGAGTTCCAGCATAAGTATACTGGAAATCCAGCATAATATACTGGAGTTCCAATATAATATACCGGTCCAGCATAATATGCTGAAAGTTCATACACATGTGCTCCAATCTTCAGTATATTATGCTGGAACTTTCCATGTGTTGGAGTTCCAGCATAATATGCTGGAAGTTCATATACAGGTGCACCGATCTCCAATATATTATGTTGGACCGCTCTATGTTGCAGCAAAATAGTAGCTATTTTTTAATGACTTTGCAAACGCTAGCTATTTTTGAATGACTTGTCCGAAAGCTGGTTAGCCCGTGTTATTTTTACGTAATTTTACCAAAATATCTTAGATATGATTTGTTTTTGTTAATATAACCATAACAAAAGAAAAATACTCTTATTTAGTAATTATAAGAAAATAAAACATATTAATTAAAGGTTGGTAAGAATTGGGCGGATTGTGATATGATCCAAATTTTAGTCCAACCTGACCTAGCCCATGAAATTTTAACCAAACCCAGTTAGCTGACTCCACTTACCTAATGGGCCGACTGGTCAAAGCCCAATAATTACCCGAAATTCGCCCCTCCAACTCCAGGCGCACCCCCTCAACTTCCATTTGCTCTCCAAATTCAAACAGCAAGCTCCCTCAAAGTGAAAGTTGTACTCATGGAAATGCAGAGGGAAATCACGGCTAGAGAAGACCGAATCAGTAATTTGCCCGACGCAATTCTAATTCACATCCTCTCAATGTTGCCGGGGTGGCACAATAAAGAAGTTCTGAGAAGCAGCGTATTATCTAGACGATGGAGGTTTCTTTGGAAGTCCGTCCCAATATCACTCGATTTTGACTTCCCCATTTGTGCGAAAATGACAATCTCTTTTACCTGGCTTCTATCCATAGAGAGCTTTATTATTGGAGGAATTGCCAGAAAATCCGATCATTCAGGGTCTGGCGCCTTAGGTACGAGGATCGATTTGCTAAAGATATTGATTTGTGGGTACATTTTGCAATTAAAGTTGCTAATGTTGAAAGTTTTGAACTTGGAATTATCGATACGAATCGCCAAAGATATGAGCTTCCTCAATTTGCATATAAAAATACTTCAGTGAGGAATTTGGCTTTATGGTACTGCCAAGTCAACCCTTCTGGTAGTGTTAACTGGAGTAGTCTCGTTTCTCTTTCATTTGGGTGCCTGGAATTGACGGAGGGTGTCATAGAAAAAGTATTATATGGTTGTCCTAACTTGGAGCGCTTGAACCTTGAAGGTGTTGGGGGAATTCATCATTTGGAAATCAGCTATGTGAAGCTGAGAGAATGATAATAGAAGATTATCCGAACGAGAATAATGACCTTGAGCTCGAAATATTAGCCCCCTATATTCAAACTTTGAAACTTTTTGGATACTGCAGTGAGATACGTATCCGGCAGAGAAATGTGGCTTCACTTGTCACTGCAGTCCTTTAGGTTAATTTTGCTTTTGATGATGTAGAAAGCAACTGATGTTCCAAACGTCAATACCACACAAGAGGGGGTAATTTGTGTGGTACCCAATTTTCGATCTAGAAGAACCTGGTTCTTCTAGGTGTTCTAACTACTACTGTTTGCGGAATTAAAATACAGAAAATAAAAGAACACAAGGATTTTTACGTGGAAAACACCTGGCTCAAAAGGTGAAAAAACCACGACCTACTACTCAGTAGGATTTTCCCAAACATCCACTAAACTCAATGAGCCAAAAACAGCATTTACAAAACTCTTGTAAACCTAAGGATTAACTCTAATCCCAGTGTGGCACACAACCTCAACTGTTGCGACACTTTCAAGTTAACTCTAACTTGAATACTTAAAGTACCTAATACAATTGCTTCTATGAAAGCTAGTAAGGTATAAGTTTTAAATCACCTACTACATTGAACTAGAATAAGAATAAACACAATGGAACTGGTTCTTCTATCTTGTTCAAGTAGCTGCAGGTGTGTACACTCAATCTCACATAAATTGCTTGCAAAATAGCCTTGCTCTTTTGCTCTCAATTTTGCTTAACTTCAGCGTATGTGCATACCTGTAAAAGAGAACAACTCAGTTATTTATTAGATTAGTAATTAGAGTTGGATTGTAACTCAATTTCTGATCCTCCATTTAGTTTGAGTCCTAGACCAATCCAAACTCCAACCCTTATCCGGATGTGTTCTCTTCTTATAAGGAGACATCTTCTCCTTATCCCATATGCAATCTTTTCGATCAGGTCAGATATTCAGAAGATAATGCTGCTTGATCCCCAAGGACTTATCTTCTTCACGTGCATCTCATGTGCATGGGCCATAACAACTGTGTCTCCTAAGATGGACCTGGTCCTTCACTGAGTTCATTTGTAATTCTTCAAAACTTCAACTGATCTTGGGCCAACAACAACTTAGATAAGGAGTGTAGATATTTGAAGGAGCTTCTTCAGAGCGTTGCCCATGTCAAAAATCTTGAATTGGGTCCTTGGTGCATCGAGGTTTATTCATACTCATCACTATCTTTTTTGTTTTGGGACTTTTTACTTGCTATTGGATCATCACTTTAGTATCATTTACAGTGTAACTACCTAAGAAAAGGGCCAAAACTGCCCCTAACCTATTTGCTTTGGTTTAAAAATACCCTCTCCACCTATTTTGTTAAAATTGCCCTTGCCGTTAAAAATCTGGCCCATTCATGCCCTTATTATGACGTGGCAATTGCTTATTAGTCAAAATTAAAAATCCCACTCTAACCCAAATCTAAATATGATTCGTAAATAACCCACCCACGACCCATATTAATCGTTCCAATCCGTTAAGCCCTTTTAGCCCCTCAAACACCTGATTCCATACCCAACTCATGTTCTAATCATTATTTAGGTTTCATTTGTCAAAATTTCATATTTTTTCTGTTTTTATTAATTTATTATTTGGTACCCTATCTTTTCCCTATTCTTCTTCCCCAACTTAATCACCACCGACAGTTTTCCAACCAAATCACCGCCGACGAATTGTGAAGCTAATTTGCTCACATGATTTTAATTAACTCCAAAAAGCTACATGGTGGCACAACAAATATAACATTGGAAGAAAGATAACTTATTCAACCATAAAATCTTAAAATGAAAATGAACTCTCAATTCGATTCCAAAGAATACCAGATTTCACTCAGAAAGTTGATTTTACAAAAAAAATATTAATTTAGAATTAAATTAAGACCGAAAAATCTGAGTGGGAGAGGGAGATCCGTGGGTGTTGAAAGGTGAAGATCTGAAAGTTGAAACCGAGTGGGAAAGGATGATTAGAGAAAATGTGGAGTGGGAGGGTAGGGATGGAAGAGGAGAAGTTGAGAGGTGAAGTTAGGGCATTTTAAAAAGCGGGTCATGGGTCGGGTATGGATGTTTTGGGTCATGGGGTGGGCTAATTAGTGGATGTGGGGTTTAATTTAAGCCAATAGGAAATTGACATATAATAAGTAATAAAAAATTTTCTTAATCAAAACAGGGCCGTTAGTTTCCCGGGATAAATGGGCCGGATTTTTAATGGTGAGAGCAGTTTTAACAAAATAGGTAGACGAGGGGTATTTTTAAACTAAAGCGAATAGGTTAGGGGCAATTTTGGCCCTTTTCCATAGGTAATAAAGAATTATATTCTCATGGCCATTTGGTTGAACACTCGCAGAAGATTGAAGCAAGACCTTTGAATAAAAATTTTGGCTGAACGCTGAGAATAAAAAGTTTGCAATGGACAGAACAACATGTAAAATTTGGATTGATTTACATTGATCATACTATTTAAATCATGTGAATGGGTTTTTCCAAGTGTTTAAAAGTCCATCTTTGAATTTTCAAACCAACCATGAACAATTGGATGTGGCAAAACGCGGTCGTGTAATCCGAGCTGTTTTTATGGATTATTCAAGAGTTTGCATTTCATTTATTAAGTATGTCATATTTTCTTAATTTGACATAATATGGTTTACCTATTTTGTTTATAAGTTCCTGTCCATTCTGGAGTTGAAAGGGTGGCAGCCTCCACCATCAAGCCGAAAATTCTTAAAACTTAATGCAGCCTTAGAACAGTTGGACTTCCCTGGAGTTTGTAGCTTTCTACAAAGTTCATCGGATCTTGAGACATTGGTCATTGACTGGTGATGTGATGATGAAGAAAGAGTAAGTTTCCGTTAAACCTTTTTTTTCTTACTTCATGTTATCCATATCAAGCAACTATTGATGGAAGAAGAAAATGATTTTTGTATCAACCTATTTTTAAGCTTAAGTACTTTAGGAAAATAATCATGATTCTTTTAATTTAGACCACCTTAATCTTAAGTACTTTAGGAAAAGAGGTAAGCTTTAGTTTTTTTTCCCGGATTTTGGAGGAAAGGAGCTGCCACTTGTCAACCCTTAACTGCCCTCTAGCTTCTCTTGGTAATGAGTTAAAGCTGACGTATTCTCTGTGTCCAAAAGGTGACTGTATCCAGCTAAAGAATCAGCCACACCATTGGCTTTTCTGTGACAGTGTGTCATCTTGACTTCTTCACTCTGAATCAACTCTTGAATCTCTTCAATAATAGGGTCATAACGCCAAGAAGATTTTGCAACTCACATTCACGATAAGTAAGAGTCAGCTTCCACCCAAATATTTCTAATTCAATATTCAAGACACCTTGTAAGCACATAGGAAAGTGCAAATGCTTCAGTGATTTAGTTTGTCCATGGCATAGTGGGACTGCATATGCCATAATAATATCACCGAAAGAGTTCTCACCATGTCACCTGGTCAACATTGTCCATGTCCACAACCGCCATCCGCGCCTAGTTTTACTACCCATCTTAGATCAGTGTTGCACTATTTTACAATAATGCTTGTCCATCGAGGTGAGTATTTCTCAATATGTTCAATGAAATTGCTCTAGGGAATTGGTAGTTCAAATTCTGGAAATTTCAACTAATGCTGCTTTGCATGGATTTCAAAATCTGCTTTTTAATGTTGAAAGCGTGCTTATTATTTCATTTTTGTGTAAGACATTTAGCGGAACTCTTTTTCTCTCAATTTATTTTTCTCAAGTTGCTTTGGCAGAAATTTCATGTTGTTACTGTCTAAATTGATTCTATGAGTAACTCAATTCGATAGTCTAACTTTTTTTGTAGCTGTAGGAAAAAGTTTTTTAACAAGGGATAGTACTCACCTTCACCGAGGTGATACAAGATTAACTTCAATGAAGCTTTAAAACTTTTTTTTTTGTTGTTTCTGTATACCACTTTGTAACATTTTTCAAGCACTTGACATGCTCCATGAATTTAATAATTCATCACATTTTTAATTCTATCCACAATCAACTCCTTGGCTTGCTAATTCCATCTAAGATTCTAAGGAGAATAAGTGGCTAATATAACAGATTCCTTTCATGCAGAACCTGCTGTCAAGGTACACAAATGAGGATGAACAGAGCAGGAAGTTTGAAACATGTAATTTTAACTGCTCATTTCCACATCTGAAGACCATCGAGATCATTAACTTTCATGGACCACTTAGTGAAAATGAGTCTCTTCTTCCATTGGTGAAATATTTTCTCAAGCATGCAAATGTGCTCGAAAAGTTCGTTATTGACGCCATATTTGAAGGGAGTGATGTGTCTCCGGGTTATGTGAAAATGACACAATAGTTCCTTAGCTTTCCAAGATCCTCTCCGCATGCTTCAGTTGTCTTTTCTTATCAATAATCTTTGTCCCCTCTCGTTTGCATTGATTGCAACATACTAAACAGCTGTTACTTTATGTTTGAAACTGGTTTATAGCTGATAGACGAGGTCAGGATTGTACCTGTCAGCATTCAAGGAGTTGTTAATTGTTGTTCATGTCTTAGTAACAGTGTGTTTATTCTGTGATCATCTCTTAAGAAAGCTTGCTCTAATTTTTTTGTGATTTCTATTCATATTCCTGAATCTTGATAATGTTTTTATACTATGAAAATTTTAGAAAAAATCATTTTGAGAAAATAGTATATCATGATTCATCATGTGTTCAAGGACATACTTCTTTGCCTATGTTATTTTTATTTGGTGCCAATGAAACTTTAAGGTATTTTAATTCTCCACCAACCTTCCGCCAATTAGAATAGTTTCTTTTCTAAATGGAACACTGGAGGGAGATAGTGAGGAGAATTAGCCTTTCTATCTTCACAAGGTAGGGGTAAGGTCTGCGTACACACTATCCTCCTCCTACACACTATGTGGGATTATACTGAGTATGTTGTTGTTGTTGTTGTTGTATTGTGAGGAGGATGCTTGCTCCAGGAGTTCCCCTCACTAAAG